CTGGAAGTGTCTCGACCGAAGCCATTCCCAAAACTCTTCTGGACTCCACGGCTGTTCACACCTCTCACAAGTGACCGAGGAAGGGTGGGCCTTATTTCCTTCACCGCAGTTATAGCAGCTCGCCGTGGAAGTGTATACAGGTCCATGATTAGCTTCCCATTCACAAGCCTTCTGAGCTAATCCGAAAACGGATAGTTCAGGGGACAATACAGGGGTTAGGACACCACCGTGCCAGTCATGATTCAGAATGTCGTATGCCCAAACCAGGTAGCGTGATTGAATTCGCAAATCAGTCTCTCCCTCCGCGACAATCTGAAACTTATTTCCCGAAATATTGACTAGATGTGATGGAGGTGAGTCACTCATGATGATTTGGATGAGCGACGTGTGTCCAGGATCACTATTGCCTATTCCGGCCAATGCTGCCACTCTCTCTTGTATTTTCTGTCTTCGGATATTCCTGCGACTCGCCTTTGCAACTTGATCCAAGGGCACTCGTAAGGTACCAAACTTCTTCAGAACTAGCCCATGGAACTCACGCAATGATACGCCCCCATTGTATTTTTCGCGACAACGTTTCCACCAACAGGCCATGTTAGCGGCAAATCGAGTGCTCGAAAGCTTCTCTGCAGGCCAGCTCCCCAGGACGTCGTCGAGGGCAGCATTTACTTGACTTAACGGAATACCTTCACTACCTTCATGTGTTTGCTGTCTGAATCCAACGTCAATGAGATCACATTCAGTCCGTGCCAACCACTCAGCAAATACAACCCTACCCCACATAACGGGCACATCAGGAGGCCGGCGATAAGAACCGGCTTCCAACATGAAATTACGTTCTAACACCGGATTCACTTCTCGGGCGGCCTCCCACTTCAACGCGGCATCGGCCAATCCGAAAACTGACATTGACTCGGTTATTTTGAATGGTACTAGATGTTGCCAGCCATGATGGAACACGTCATATGCCCATACCAAATATCTACTGTGAATCTCCCATTCTTTTTCTTCAGGGTGAAACAGCACAATTTCGCGAACACGGGATCTGTTCTCACTGAGACCCGTCTCCTGAGACGGGTGCTGACCCACTGAGTTCCGTTCCATTATACTCCTAAATTCGGAGTTGTCTGCCGCCCTGTACACCTCCATCGGGCTAGCGCCTGCTACATCCTCCGCCGTGAGGATATCGTCTCGCTCAGTTGAGCAGTTCAGGTACCGGTCCAAGAAATGTTTGCGAAGGCCCCGAAAAGACCCCAAGCACATTCTCTTTGGCGGTGAAGCATCCTTTACGACATCCTCTGTCGAAGCATCTCGCGGCAGGCAGCCAGTGACCGCAGATGACTTAGGAGCAGGACGTTTGCTGCGAGCGCGCGTCAAGTCCATTGCAGCGCTGCTAACTGACGGTAACCTGATAGGACTCCCCAACAACTCCCCTTCGGGTCTGGAGATACTCTCCATGGATTCCGACTGCGAGGCGGTGACATGCGAATCGAATGCATCAATGCCTCCCAAGCTCAACAAAATAGTGACTAGTCCGCACGTTGGCGGCGACTTCCTTAAGCTGGGCAGAGGTGGCATCTTCTTTTCCGACAGCGAATTTATAATTCACACGGGGCCCCAGCAGATCCAAAAGTACCTTCGATATGAACATTGTCCTCCTATCCGCCAATCAATAGCCACGACCCCAATATGTAAAACACGTGTGTGCCAAACATATAAAATAAGAGACCGCTAACGTTAGGAGAAGTTCTTTACGTAAGTTCTCGGGTCCACAGGCGAAGCGAGCCACGTTAGAAGCTCCGGTTGGTTCGCGTTGGTCTCTGTCGGTGCAGTCCCGCCAACTTGGAATTCGAGTAGCCCCGTCTTGACGAAGCCGGGTCTGCAGTTCAAATCACAGGCATTCGCCTACGCGATGTTTGAACCAACCTGCTAACTTGAACGAAGAACCTTGTGCAGGAGCAACCGCTCACACTCCCATCGACAAAATCCGTCTGGCTGACATGCCTGATTGAACCATCTTTCCTCCAATCAATTCTGCCACGCTCTTATTCGGCCTGCGTTGGGTCCTTCGTATTTTTTCTGCGACCTGGCTTGGTCGCACTCGTAAATCCCCTTTACAACTACCCCTTCCACTAATCGGGAGCAGAGCAGATCTACCAACCAGCAAGTCACGAAGCGCATCACTCACTTGTTTTAACGGAATGAACCACCAACCACCTGGTCTATCGTATCGTCTGTAAATCGTCTCGCCTTCAGTCAATGCCACCAAGCCTCATTCAAAAGAGTGAAATACATTTCGCTTCCAGCTACACGACATCGTCAACGTCACGAAGTAGAGACCAATTCTGTGTACCACTAGTCGTTCATCGATCGAATCTGTCCGCCGTAGGTCGAAAACGTTTGTTCACGCAAAGAGGGCCGTCTGAACACATCGATTGCGTGAAAGGGCATCTTTTTCAGTCCGTACATCAAACCCGATCTGACACCGCCGCCGCTGAGTCTTCTCGCCCGCCGCTCAGACTTCTCGATATCAATATTCCTTCCCCACAGTACTTTCCCACGGTACTTCATCACCCTGGACCTAATGGATCGGTCAGTCATTACATATGCGAACGGGTAGCATCGGAGTGCCACGGTGTCGACTCCGGTTGTGTCCACCGTTCTTGGTCCGGACGTTCTTGGTCCGGACGCTCGTTCCTGGTCCGGACGCTCGATCCTGGTTCAGACCTTGGTCGTCCGGACATTACTTCTTTCGTTCCGATCCCATTGATCCTTCTCGCAGGTTCTGATCCCCCAGAACCATCCAGAGAGTGGTTACGAGAGTCATCGGATGGATACCCCAATGCTATCTTCCGACGGGTGAACCGAATCGAAGAACCTGGGACTGGAAAGGCGTTAGAGATCCCAAGCAAAAGACGCAGCCCGAAACTCTTCCAAACTTTGCCGTCATTTCATAGCCGCTTGTGGACGAGCCCGTCTAGTCCATAAACTGTTTACTCCGATGGCGACTGGAGTAACAACACCTGCGATGAAACCTTCCCCCCACCAGCCTTCCCCCACCAGTCGACCATGTATCCCGAAAAAATCTACTTTCTTTTTCACTTCCAAAACGCGCTAAATGAGAATTATTTTTTTGATGCCTGTCACAGCCTTGTGATTGATCACTGTACTTGCTCGATGGGTTCGTCAGGTGGTTGATTGAGATTCGTAAAGGGTATACAAAACTATACGTTCATACTCCCAAAGTGTTAATCCTTGTTTTGAAGGTTCCTTTCTGCGAGTCTGCTCAAGCCACCATCCCCGAACATTCCGAGATACAAGTTTCGATTTTTTCCAGTCCTCCATTTCCCAGAAGGGCAGGTCCCATTTCTCTTCTTTGCCGTTAATTGGAACATCGAACCCCACACCATGTACCATGCTAGCCAAACGGCTTAGATAACGCGCATCAGAACCGTCCGTATCCCTGAGGTCTGTATCCCTGAGGTCTGTATCCCTGAGGTCTGTATCCCTGAGGTCTGTATCCCTGAGGTCTGTATCCCTGAGGTCTGTATCCCTGAGGTCTGTATCCCTGAGGTCTGTATCCCTGAGGTCTGTATCCCTGAGGTCTGTATCCCTAAGGTCTGTATCCCTGAGATCTGTATCCCTAAGGTCGCAGTCCATTTGAACATTTTCACAACATCTTGCATAGTTGTTCGACTGATTAAAGAGGTTCCAGAAGTGTCTCGATCGTAGCCACTCCCAGAACTCATCCGGGTTCCATTTGCCATCGCACCGTTCACATTTCTCGTTCCGGTCATGGGGTACACTACCCTCACCACAAGCGTAGCAGCCCATGCTTAAAGCCTCTATAGGTCCTTGAGTCCTTATCCATTCACATATACGAGCAGCAAATCCAAAGACGGTAAGCTGATGTTTCATATTAGCGATACTCTCCGGGACCGCAGTCCACCAACCCAGGTTAAATACGTCGTATGACCACACTAGAAATCGTGGTGCTATTCGCATCTTACGTTCCTCTTCGGTAGCTATTAGAAATCGTTGTCCGGAGACAGAGAGGAGCCAGGAGGGAACTGCATCATTCATGACAGGTGACAACGAATTGAATGTTCCGACGTCGGAGCTGATACCCATGTGGGACTGTTGTTTGGTTCTTACGCTCTCAATTGCCCGACATATCCGTTCCTGACGTAAGGTTCTACGTAATGCCTTGGGAACGGCTTCCAATGGCACTCTCAAGTCAGCTAGCTTCTTTACAAACAGCGCCTCAAACTCGGTGGCAGACACACGGGGACCCTGCTGCGTTCTATACACACTACTGCGAGAACGCCACCAACGTTCCATTCGAAACTGAAAGCGTATGTCGAAGCCTCTAGCCAATGTCGGCCATGAATTCATCACGTCTTGAAGTGCAACATCCACTTTGTCCCACGCAATGGCATCTTCCAACCGTGGCGACTGTCCTAACGCTCCCACTCGCACACGCATACCACACATCTCACCACACATCTCACCACACATCTCACCACACATCTCACCATCACAATTATTCCCTGAATTAAATCCATACACCTCACCTTCAGGACGCTCCAGTTTAAGCCACATCTCGAAATCACTCAGGCTCCAGGGAGCAAAGCGGGCTGCCTCACCGACCTTATAACATCTTGCACCCAACGTGAAGATTTTCTTCTTCGCTTTAACCCAAGCCTCAGCCACCTTGGCCAATGCGAACACAGACAATCCGGTAATGTCAAAAGGAGCTAGGTGAGGCCAGTCGTAATATTGGATATCATAAGCCCACATCAAGAACCTTGGCGCCACTGCTAATTGTTCCTCACCAGGATGTATCAAAATGGGTCTCTTGCTACCTCCAGGACTATTCTCAGAAGTACCTCCACGGCTATTACCATGAGGACTATTATTACGACTACTGACGTCCAAGCTGGAATGTTCGGAGGAGTCATGTCCGGAACTGTTGGGGACGGCATCCGATAGCTTGGTGTGCAAGTTTGAAGCTCCAATCGTTACTCCAATGGTTTCTCCAATGGTTTCTCCAATGGTTTCTCCAATGGTTTCTCCAATGGTTTGTCCAATGGTTTGTCCAATGGTTTGGTGTTCATTAACTACCCTCTGCACATGCTGGCGACTCGCCAGGGGCCTGGCTTCGGCCCGTTTGGTCGAACTGACTATAACCGAATGGGAACTCGAATGACTATTCATACATAGTCTTTTAGCAGGCGAAGCATCGTCTGAACCTACGGTCCCGTACCCACCGCCTATGCCTAGTAGAACGGTTCCCTTATCAAAGAGAGGAGACCCGCAAGGATTGCAACACCGCATATTTTCAAATTTGCCGCCGGAACCAAGCAAGGTACATCATTTCAGGTTCGGGTTTTGGTCTTAGATTGGGGTGTATCCCAAACTGCTCGATGCTCGAATCATCATTACCCTCTCCCATTCCCATAAGGTCAGGCCGTTACTTGAAATTGGTAGACACTCAGCTTGCCGGAACCACCATTTGTGCATTTCCTGTCTGAATGAAGGTTCTCCCTTTTTCTGTAAAGGAGTGAACAGCTGAAATGACACCACCCGCCTTTCGTCTCGGCTCCCGGTTTCGGGGAAGTTAAACCCTATCTCGTTTATTAGCTCGACTATTTTGGCTCGATCACCTCCGTCGGAACGTATCCACGATAGATACTCATTAGGCGCTTTATGAATGGTCTGATCAGCAGTCTGATCAGCAGTCTGATCAGAACCATTCGGGCTCAATTGGGTCAGTGGGATGCAGACCCTGGCAAAGTGTCTCGACTGGAGCCACTCCCAGAACTCGTGGACGTTCCACGGACGGTCGCACCGTTCGCAGTGATCAGTGTCGGAGTGGAACACGTAACCCTCGTCACACACGTAGGGTCCCATATCCAAAGTGGTGAGGGGGTTTCCCGCGTCGTTCCACTGCCAGATCTTCTTGGCGAGTCCGAAGACCGACAGTGCGTGCTGAATGGCTGGCTGAATCGCTGACTTCGTCCATGGTTCCGTCCATGGTTGTGCAATTGACTGAGCAACACGTTGGACAATTATTTTTGGAACGGCCCCCCACCATCCGTAGTACATGATGTCGTACGCCCAAACCAGGAACCGTGGGGCGAGTCGAAGTCCGGTCTCCTTCTGGGTGGCGAGTGGGAAGCTCGTTCCGTCCACTGCGACGAGGAACGATGGCGACGTGTTCGTTTCACCCCGACCGGTCTGAACCGGGCTGGTGGCGACGGCGGCGGTCTGCACTTTTCTTCTGCGGCGTGCTCTGCGAAATTCACGGGGTACCGCGTTTAAGGGCACGCGCCAATCACCTAGTAGTTTCACGAAAAACGCCTCGAACTCCCATTGGGGTAGGGGAGCTTGCATTTCCGCGCTCTGGGACGAGTCTGCTTGGAAGCGACCACTGGATCTTTGCCACCACTGACGGAGACGTTTGCGGTTGATAAATTGGTCGTCTCGCGACCAGCCGCGCAGGAGATCATAAAGGGCGTCATTGACAAGGTGTGCGGCGATGGTGGTGCCCGTTCCTTGGTCATCAGCGAGAGCACCGCAGCCACTTCGCCAGTCCGTCTCATGTCGTCGTCGGATGGTGAGCCAGCTTAAAAACTGTGAGCGATTCCAAAGGTGTTGTCTGCAAACACCAACACGATAACACAACGCCTCCAACGTCACATTCTGACCACCCATCGACGCCCAAGCAGCCGCACGTTTCGCCAACGCAAACACCGATAAGTCACTCAAAGGAAACGGAACCAACCTCCACCAGCCATTACGTAACACATCGTAGGCCCAAATCAAGAACCGCGGTTTAAACCTGGTACCGTCCTCACCCCCAACGCAGAACGAAGGAATCGACTCATGCAAACCCTGACATACATTACTCTCAACATCAGGATCAAATGTTGATCCGGCAAATGTTGATCCGTTGTGGGTTTCACTTACTGCACTCCCCTCCCCTTGGTCGACCACTAGTCCTGAAGAGCTTGCCACTCTTCCCTCCTTGTTTACAAACCCATTGATATGATTTGAATAACCGGTTTCGGTAGTGCTATCATCAGGGGTCGTCGAAACTCCACATTTGGGTTCAGATCTAACATCATCGGGACAACCGCCGAAATCCACTCCAATGTTATCCGACAGTTGTGGAAGCAATGCCAGACTTGTTGATGGCAGATTAGGTGGTTGCATACTTGTTGAGACGTCCAACTGCATGTCCCCAAAGATTCCAGTAGTGCTTCCTTCGACGTAGGGACCCGCTTCAGAACATGTGGACCCAATGACGAGTGGGTCATTTCCGGCAAGAACACCAATAGCACTATCCAATACAATCCCACCCTCGGCGGCGTTGCGATCAAATACTCCGGGACCCACAGACATCTCCCGGCACGGCCTTTTCACCGGTGACGGGCCTTCTGGCGCGTGTCCGAGGCCTAACAGCACTGCGCTCTCACCCAAAGTTATTAATGGGCGTCTGAAAGTCTTGTAGCATCGCATTGCAAACCAAATTTTAATTCCAAAATTCGTCTCTGCCCTCTCCTCCTTCTTTCGCATGGAAGTCCTAGTCCGGTTTTCCCGTGTCTGGATCCTGTTCCTGGTGACACCCAGCTGTCTTGACCCCAGCTGCACTTGTCCACTCGGGTCCTATTCTACTCCGGTCCTATTCCACATCAGTTCGGGTCATCCACCTGCCGCCGTTCAGCTCCGTTTGTATCCTTTCTTATTGAAATTGGCATTCCTCCGCACACGTGGTGCGAGCCCTACTCCTGCTCGCGCCGCATACACCTGCTGGGTCACGCGGCGAAGTAATAGGCCGACTTGCTGTACCTCGACTTCGTGTGATCTCACGGACACAGGCCGGACTCTCACCACACCCTTTTTCTGACTTCCTGCAAATCGTAGATTTGTAGACAACATGTGACCCTGCCGAGGAGGTCAAGACAGAAAATGTTCGTGAAGCTCCGGTGCTGGCCTCTGCACGGTAGCCGGACATACTCCGGACAGCACCTCGAACAGGCTGGTCTTGAGAACGCCATCTAGGCAAGGGTTTCGGCGACCAGATCTTCGGGACTCAGGGCTTCAGGGTCTAGTGAGTTGATTAGGATTAGGCGTTCGCCTTCCCAGGCGGTTAGTCCGCGTTCCCGTGACGGGGGTTCTGAGACACGGGTCGCCCACCAGTTCTGCAAGTGTGCGGCATAGGAATCCTGGGAGGCTTGGTACCTTAGTGGTAGGGGCCATCGTTCTTGACCCTTTATTCGCTCGGGCATTTCGAACCCAATCTCATTGAGGAGCCGTTCTACTGCTGCTAAAGTGTTTTTTGTTTCTGAACCGGTCACTTTCTGTGTGTGGCATGCACCCTCTGAGGTTTCCCGTGAATTTTGTGTTGACCTTTCTGCGTCCAGTTGCGGAGGAGCTGGATTGCGGGTGATGAGAAGGTGTCTGAGTTGCAGCCAGTTCCAGAAGTCATCGGGACTCCAGGGGCTGTCGCAGCGATCGCACTGGCCAGCGATGGTGGAATGTACACCGCCTTCGCGGCAGGCGTAGCAAGCGGCAGCCACAGAGGGAATCCAGTTGCTGCCATTCATCTGGGCCACAGCGTGGGCGAGACCAAAGAGGGACAACTGTCCTTTTCGCGACCGCAGAAGTGGCGGTACGGCCATCCACCAGCCCTTGAAGAGTACGTCGTACGACCAAACCAGTAAAGGCGGCGGCAGCCGAATTGCGGCCTCCTCGGTCGTCGCTATGTCGAACCTTTCACCGTTAGCACTCCTAAGCTGCGCCGGAACCGTTTCGCTTAGAACCCCGGACGACCCCACGCAGCGTCGGGCAACCTCGGACCACCGGACCATACCGCAACCGGCCGTGAGTGCGGGCTCCGAAGCCAAAGTCCCCGGTTCGAGTCCGGGTTTCGGTTGCAGTCCGGCGAGAGTGGAGTTTATGCGTGCTTTGCGGAATGCTTTACGGATGACGGCCGGAATTTGTTCTGGTGGTGTATGTGTGTTGCCGAGAAGTGTGACAAAGAGTCCTTCGAATTGGGAGCGCGAGACGGCGGCGAAATGGGGGAGGGGTGTGCGGGATTGGAAGAGAGTGCTGCGGGTCTTCCACCAGCCTCGAATGACTCTGGCGAGAGGTGCGTCGGCGGTGAAATGACGCCAGCCGCGCAAGAGGTCAAAGATTGCTTCGGCGACACGTTCTTTAGGGAGCGAGTGATTGGGGTGGTAAGGCGCCACACAACCAACATCATCCTTACGTCTTGAGGCCAACCACTCGACAAACCGCATCACATCCCACTGGGCAGCCGTTCCCTTGGCCACACCCACGTTGTAACAATGTGGTTCGAGTGACCAATTCCTCTTTCCACAGGTCTTCCACACCGCCGCTCTTCGAGCTAAGCCAAATACAGATGATCCGAGACAATCAAAAGGCACCAAGTGCTCCCAACCATAACGCAATACGTCGTAAGCCCACACTAAATACTTCGGCGCCACCAGACCTTCCTCCTCACCCGGATGTACTAACACAGGCTCACACTCAACCGAGGCCAGGAGGAAGCCAAGAACCAGCCGCACTCCGGGATTAGTCGCTGTCTCCAACCGGGAACAAAACTCACCCAGCGCGGCGTCCTTCGTTGAATGCGGAAGAACGGCGTCCTTCTTTAGGCATGTCTCCAAACACCGCCGCTTCCCGCCTCCGACCGGCACCGCCACCGACAGACCGGGACCGACTCCGAGCAACGCAGCACACAGGCTGACACGCACACACGGCTGCCGCAGGTGCACACACGTTCGCATTTCAAAGGAAAAAATACTACCCATGTTCTATTCGTTGCAAACCGAGGGATTGCAAACCGAGTGCCTGCAGACCCAGTGGCTGTAGGTCGAGCGGCTGCGGATCGAGCGGCTGCAGGTCGAGCGGCCGGTGTGTCGGTCCTCCAGGGGCACAGTCGATCAGACGAACAACGCCCAACTGGGGGACGCCCGACCGAGGGACTACGCCCGACCGAGGGACCACGCCCGACTGGGGAAGTTGTAGCCAGGTCGTGACAGGCCAAGCAAACGCTGGTTGCAGATGGGCCCTCTTCGGTGCTAGTTTGACACAGACTCTCTTGGGCGCTGGTTCAACGCTTTCGGATCCATCCAGTGACGTAAGGCCTTTTATTCCCAAAGTTGAGATTCGGTGGAGAAGGAGTCGCTCGAATTCAGGTCGTGTAAGACCGTGAGCGGCCGGACGGGATATGCCCGCTCGTCGTGACCACCAGGACGCAACGCGTGCATGGAGATCCGTGACGCCGCGTAGGAATGACTTGAGGTTTAATAGGAAGGGTCTGACCGAGAACTTAGTCTCCTCGATGTCCGGTATCTCGAACCCGACTCCGTGTATCATCGCCAGCTCCTCCTCACGATCCGACAGTCTCTGTCGAGGGTGCTTCCTCGCTTTAGAAACGGGACGGTCAGAAACGGGACCATTAGAAACGGGACCGGTCAGTTGTTCAACAATGCGCGCGAAATGTCTCACACGTAACCATTCCCAGAACTCTGCCAGACCCCAGGAACCTTCACATCGCTCGCAATCCGTCGAGCGATGGTAACCGGCCTTTGTTGACTCACCACATGTATAGCAACCGGCGGACAGGCCGAGAATGCGCCTACCTTTTGACTCCAACTCATACGCATATCGTGCCAGCCCGAAAACGGAAACTTCAGCAGATACCGGCAACTCTTCCGGCACTGCCGGCCACCATCCGTAGTACCAGACGTCGTACGCCCAGACTAGGTAGCGCGCCTCGACCCGTAGATCCATTTCCGAGGTCTTCACCAATTCAAACTTCAGTCCCGCCTCATTCAATAAGTGAGACGGTACTGTATCACCCACGGTGGTGGTATCACCCACGGCGGTGGCACCACCCACGGTGGTAGCAGACTCGTTGGTAGCACGCAGTTCAGCCCACTGTTGCTGCCAGCGTTTTCTTCGAAGTTCTCTCCGGAAGGCCTGGCCGATTTGGTCTAGGGGTACTTTGAAGTCTCCAACTCTCTTGAGTATGAGGCGATCCAGGTCTCGGACGTGGACGCATTCCTCACCGGGTGTGGGTTGGAAGGGGCCTCGTCGGCTGGCGATCCAATTTTTAAAGAGCGCTCGAAATGTCTTGGTGGTAACATTTTCCCGCGGCCAACAACGCACAATGTCATCGACCGCGTCTTGAACTTTACGTCGGGCTATTCGAGCAGTCCCGGTGGCAGTCAACCGACTGAGCACAGGTCGTCCCATTCCCAGCCACTTCATGAAACGGGCATAGTCCCAACGGTCCTTACCTTCGAACCGATAGCAAGTAGCCGCCGCTGAGAAGTTGTCATGATCCCACTCCTCAGCACGCTTCGCTAACTCGAACACTGACATGCCACCCATGTCGAACGGAGCCAAATAACGCCAGTCATTACTCATCAGGTCGTACGCCCACATCAACCACTTCGGACCTAACCACATCCCACGCTCCTCCGGCCGAGCTATTACAATCCCACGCTCACAGCCAAACGCTGCAGTGAACACTGTCACCGACCCCGAACCAGGCGCCGGAACACCATTCGCCACAGCATCAAACCCGCCACTCCGCACCCCGGCGCCAGCCTTACACTCGCTCTGCTCATCACGACAAATGCCGACCTGCACCAAGCCAACCTGATGCTCTGAACCCACGGGTTCTGAACCAACCTGCTGCTTTGCACCAACCTGCTGCTTTGAACCAACCTGCAGCTTTGAACCGATGTGCTCTGAACCAATGTGCTGTGCAAGACAGTCCTCGATTAACTGCCAGTCTTGAGCGGCCTCTGCCGTCTGTCCGTCCTGAGCAGCATGGTCGATTTGCGTGACGTTGTCCATGTCTATGCGAAGCCCCGCCAGGTCCTGGAAGTCGAGGCTGTCACTGTTGTAGTCGAGGCTGCCACTGTTGTAGCTGAGGCTGTCACTGTTGTAGTCGAGGCTGCCACTGTTGTAGCTGAGGCTGTCACTGTTGCAGCTGGGGCTGGCCTCGCCGGGGCTAGCCTTGCGGCGAGCGAGGCTGGCCTCGCTAAAGCCGAGGCCGGCCTCGCTGAAGCCGAGGCTGGCCTCGCTGAAGCCGAGGCTGGCCTCGCTGAAGCCGAGGCTGGCCTCGCTGAAGAGGTCATCCCTTGGCAGAAGGCCAAGCGGAAGTTCGTCATCCAGCCCCGCGTTGCCGTAGACCTCTGCCAAGAATTCATCGCTGAAGGAGGGCCACGGGGTGCCCGCCGCCACCTCGTCCACGGGCAATGGACCCACGCCCAAGAGCAGAGCGCCCGACACAGGCGAGTGACGGGGTGGTGGTTTGCAGGACCGCATCGTCCACTTGCCTGTAGTCAACAACCAGAATATTGTTCCGGAAAATAACGCAAGAAATCGTCCCACCCTTGGCGTTCAGGACACCGCGAATTGAACCAGGGCCGCGTGCGGCCACATTGGACCGTGGCTGACCACACGAATTGTCCGGGATAGCTCGGGTCAAAAAGGTGCTCACTGCCCGGCTCCGGCGGAATAGAGGTGGACGAGGAGCCGGTCGCATTCCCAGCACTCGAGGCCGTCTTCGGAGGGGGTAGTTGCTGACGTCTGTTGCGTCCACCAGGTGTGGGCCGTGGTCGGGAAAGAGCGCCTGGTCCAATCGGCGCCGAAGAGCCAGAGGGGTCCGATGAAGTTCCAATAGGCCCAGCGCACACCTCGACGTTCAGTCGGTGGGTCGAACCCGATCTCATTGATGGGCCCGAGCAGTTGATTTCGGCTTCGTTTGGCAAAACCTTCCCAGCCCCCATCTCCCGACAACTTGTCTTCATTATATCCGCCAGTAGATCCCGCGTCTTCGCTCCGTCCCGCGTCTTCTTCACTCCGTCCCGCATGTGGAATAGATTCCGCGTCCAGGCTATTCAACTGCTTGGAGATGTGATCAAAGTGTCTTGATCGTAACCATTCCCAGAACTCCTCAAGGCTCCATGGACTCTCGCACCGTTCGCATTCTTGCGTCGGGGTATGGCAAGCAAGGGAGCCTTCGTTGCATGAATAGCAACCTGCATCTAATGTTTTCGGAGCCCTGCCCGCCTTGGCCCACTCGGCCACGCATTTCGCCAGTCCAAATACCGACAGCGTGTGTCGCCCAATGGTGCGCTGTGAGATAGTGTGTGTGTGTTTACGTGGCCGTTTGCGCGTCGCCCGTCGCATCATACGGCACCAGTCGTGGTTCAGGGCGTCGTATGACCAGACCAAAACGCGCGATGGCAGACGCAGCTCTGCCTCTTCCTTTGTGGCTACCATGAACCGGTTACCGGATAGACTAATTAAGTACTGGGGTACGGTCTCTCCCATCACATCCTTCGCCATGCCACCAGCTGCCACACCGGTAGCGATAAAGCGGAGTCTGCGCAGCTCACGACGAGCTTGCTTCGGTGCATCCTCCAAACTCTTACGCATATTACCCAACATTCTGACGAATTCACCCTCAAACTCCCACCTAGACAGACCACCAGTCTTCCACGCCGGAGCTGCTATCCATCCCCGACCTGTGTTATTTGCGGTATTAATCTTCGACATGGTGCCAGCCTCCGGTATGGGGAAAGTTTCTGACATGCTGCTATCCTCTGGCTTCGGTTCGAACTCGGCAGCGCGAGAATTCCACCAGTAGTCCATTGCGGTTCTGAATTCGGCGTCAGGGGCCATCCGTGACGACCAGCTAACCAGCACGTCCTGCAGCGCGGCTTCCACTTTGTTTTGTGCAATTCGGACAGCATATTGGGTACACACACTCCCAGTGCGGATCGACTCTTCAGACCTGCGCCACTGACGGAATCTCGATTCATCCCATCGACTCTCTGCTGTTATGGTCCCTGTTGCAACTCTATAGTTACTCGCCTGAAGTGTGAAGTTGGAGTATCCAGCCTCGTCCCATTCTTCGGCCTTCTTGGCAAGACCAAAAACCGATAACCCGGTCACGTCGAATGGCGATAAATGAGGCCAGCAGTTTCGGAAAATGTCGTAAGCCCATACCAAGAACCGAGGACCAATTTGCAAACCTTCCTCTGCCAGAGTCGCAATACGGAACGACGAACCATCTACGGCAAATCCGAGACCGCCTCCACCAAACCCGGGGACAACGGTTCTGTGAGTCGCCCCCATGGGGGCCGCCCTTCCGGGACCCGGTTCTCCAGGGACCCGCGTTGGCGCTGCGGCGCGACCCTTGAGGCCCAGATAGTAAACCGTGAGTCGTTCCAGTTCCCAAAGCTCGAAACCGTCCTTGGAGGCAGGCAGGCCGGACTTAACGTGCGCCTCCCACCAGTCCTTGACGGCCTCAGCCACCGAGCCCAAGGGGTGGGCGACATGTCTTGCGCACTGTACGTAAGACGCCGCAAACCGTTCGCCTTCGTCCTCGTCCGGAGCCTTGAAGCCTAGGCCCCTGCATAGCCGGCGCAACCGGTCTCTGGCGGGTTCCGTCGGACCCGCGGGTTCCGTCGGACCCGCGGGTTTCGTCGAACCGGCGGGTTTCGTCGAACCGGCGGGTTTCGTCAAGCTTGCGACCTTGGTATTATCCAGCCAGGCGCAAAGGTGACGGGCGCGCAGCCATTCCCAGAACTCCTGGACGTTCCAGGGGCTTTCACATCTTTCGCAGGGCTCTGTGAGGTGATGGCCCTGCCCTTTTTCGCCGCAGTTGTAGCAGCTGGCGGACAAGGTGGGGATCTCGTTCCCGGCGAGGACCCAGGCACGTGCTGCCACGGCAAGCCCAAAGACGGAGTCCGTATCGTCCGGTTTGGAGGCGCCGGGCATGTTCGCCGGTACGGCCGCGCGTAATCCATGCCTCAACACGTCGTAAGCCCAGACCAAGAATCGTGGTTCGATTCGCAGCCCCCCCTCCGCGGCCGTCGCGATTTGGAACACGTCCCCTTTGAGGACTTTGAAGTGGGCAGGGACCACGTCGCTCAGCGTCAAACTCCGCGACGTCGCGCCCAACGCTAAGGCTTCGGCTGCCGCTGCACGGACTCGCGCTCTCCGACCCACTCGGCGGCAGTACTTGGGTAGTTCTTCTAGTGATATTTTTAGAGCGCCGAGTTTCTTCAAAAGTAAACGGTCAAAGTCCCACCAACTGATCCAAGGTCCACATACTCCTCGTCCTGCCGCCAAGGTATGGCCGCGTTCTGTCCACCAATGCTTCACTCGTGAGCCAAAGTCCGTGGCAAAAGACCCTAAACCTTCGACCCAAAACTGCAATACATCTAAAATCGCACCTTCCACTTGCTCCAAAGGTAACGCCCGCGTATATTGTCGTTCTATGCAGAAACCCACATCCTCCTCGTGACCTCTACCCCGCTCTGCCTTCAACCATGACGAAAACTCTAAATGATTCCATTCCACCCACTTCGGTCCGTTCTTAATATGAGCATCATACGCACGAGCACCAAGAATAAAATTCGGTTTCCTCTTCGCTTCCCACTCCTGAGCCTTCAACGCCAATCCAAACACAGATAAACCCTCTACACTGAACGGCACCAGGCGCCACCAACCCTTGCTGAGCACATCGTAAGCATACACCAAGTACCTAGCACCAATCCGCAACCCCATCTCTTGCGGGTCTACGATACGGAATGGTGCTACCGGCTCGGCAATCACCTCACCAACCGGCTCGGCAACCAACTCACCAACCGGCTTGGTAACCGGCCTGGCAAACGGCTTGGTAACCGGCTTGGCAAACGGCTCGGTGACCGGCTCGGCAACCGGCTCGGCAACAGGCGGGGTAACAGCCAGGACACCGTCGCCAATAGCCAGGACACCGTCGCCTCCACAGTCCATGGACTTACTAGGGCTCACGTCGGTATCTGCTGCCCTATCGGGGCCCAATTCCACATCCGGAGTTTTCTGGCCACGTTCTGGCACGGGACCAACCGCGGCATAGCTCTCACTATCCAAGGGAGCCGTCGCGCTCCTGTGAGACGGCTCCGGAAAGCCCCAGGGCACAATAAGATCGGAGTTGTCGTCAGCCATCCAAGACTCCACTAAGTCGCCAAAGTCCGGTTGTCTGGAAAGTTCAAGCACGCCGGCCGGTACTTCAGCAAGGACGTCCTCACGGATATTACTCCCTGAACTGTTTGATGCACAACTCTCCTGGAGGATGCTGTGTTCATTTGATCCGAAACGCGGACTTGCTGCAGCATTTTGGGGCGAAGTTTCATTTGCTCCTGGACTCGCTGACTTGTCGGCTTCAACGAGGTCAGTGGAGCCCGCTGTGGAGAGTCCTAGAAATTCATTGAAGAAATCATCGCTAGGGCCCAAGTGGCTCATAACTGTTGGGCGATAACCGAAGTCGGGGCACCACACTGGTTCGCCACGTTCGATGCCGAAGCGGTTAGCGAAACATGTGGCTCTTTTGGCAGGCGGTGCCTCATCGTCAGCAATGTTAAGAAAGATTGCTGTTAGCCTTATTGAAGTCAACGAATCTCGAGGGGGGGGGCAACATCGCATTTCCAACGTTCGTTTCGCGGCCAATAATTAGTTTTCGTTGACAAGAACTGATGGGCTAATATCTTTGGGCTAGTCTGTGAGAGATGTACCTCGGGTTCCGCGTGGTGGGAAAAAGTTATCGTTGGGTCATCTCGGTACTTAGTCTGTGGACGATTAGGCGTTCGCATTCCCAGCGTTCGAGTCCTTCGTTGCACAGGTTCAGGTCGTGACCGACTTGTCTCCACCAAGAGCGGATGCGAGTGGGCAGAGTGTAGCTACAGCTGCCCTGCAAGAACTGGTCAATCGGGTAGTCCCAGACAGAAACATTATACCTCATTTCTTTTCGTGGTGGCACGTCGAAGCCGATGTCATTGACCATTCTTGTCAACTGCTCTGAGTTCGGCTGATCAGACAGGGCGGCAGGATGCGGCCGAGTGGGATCAAACTCCTGAAGGTTATAGTGCTGAGGGTCAGCCCACGCGTGTGCGCCGTTCTTGAGCCGGTCGTAGAGAGTGAAGAGGTGTCGCGATCTTAACCACTCCCAGAACTCTTGCACGTTCCAGGGATCCTCGCAACGTCCGCACTGGGAGGTGCCGTTATGGTTGACGGTATTCTCGCCGCACGTGTAGCAGCTGGCAGATAGTGTGTAGAGCAGATTGCCGGCTGCGACCCATTGGCGTGCGCGTTGTGCGAGCCCAAAGACAGACACCCCAGGAACCAAAAGCGAAGGAGGTACGGCGCCCCACCAGGACTGGTTCAGGATGTCGTATGCCCAGACCAGGAAGCGGGCTTCGATTCGCCAAGCGGCCTCCATCGCAGCCCCTTGGTCTGTAGCCCCTTGGTCTGTAGCCCCTTGGTCTGTAGCCCCTTGGTCCGTAGCCCCTTGGTTCACGATCCGAAATGTGTTCCCCCACACGCCGACGAGATTGCGAGGGATTACGTCACCCAGAGCGGCCACAGCAGTGAGGACGGAGTCTAGTTCGGAAGCAGAGATGCTTGTCCTAAGTTGCAACAGTCCCTTCTTAATTTTAGCTCTACGCGTTGCACGACGGATGGCTTGTGGAATTTTGTCGGCAGAGACTTGTAGCTCGCCGAGTCTCTTGATAAACAGACCGTCAAACTCCCGTAAAGTAACGGACTCCGAGGTTGTATCATGGCCAGTAACCCAGAACCAATCACCGTGATATTTTTCCCACCGGCGAATACGATCGGCGAAACGGCTGAGAAAATCTTCGGTCGGCCAGAACTGGAACAGGCTATCTAGCGCCGCCTCAACCTTGGAAAGCGGAATGAATCGTGAAGCCATCCGTCGAACTCGAAGACCAACTTTTGCCGAATCACTACCCGACCGCTCTTGCCTCAACCACTCTCGGAACCGTTGCTCATTCCAAGGAGAATCCAGATATTTCTCTTTTTTGTAACAACGCGCCATGAACGTAAAATTCGGCTCCAACGACGGAGTCTTCCGACGCTCCATCTCATAACACCAAGCGCGATGAGCCAAACCGAATACAGATAAACCACTCACATCGAACGGAATCAATCTACACCAATTATGATTCAAAGCATCAAACGCCCATACCCAATACGGTGCACCAATATCCACATGCTTCGTCAACTGCTTCTCCTCTGCCGTGATGATTTCAAAACCGTTAGCTTTCCGAACCAAGTCAACAACAGACCCGGAACAACCAAATCCGAGATCCTTAGACCAGCTGTTCGTGGACCCATCTTCTCGCTTCCGCGGTCGACGTTTTGACGACCAAGATCTTTTGGAAGTCTCGATTGGTGGAGAAACGTCGATAGGAGGAACCGGCGGAGAAACTTCGATAGGAGGAACCGGTTGAGAAACTTCGATAGGAGGAACCGGCGGAGAAACTTCGATAGGAGGAACCGGTGGAGAAACTTCGATAGGAGGAACCATGTGAGGAGAGACAGCCGGGGCACACAATTCCGGAGTCCCCGTGCAGGCAGAGTGGCGTGCTGTAGAGTTCCCGAGAGCAGGCCAGCGGCTGTCGAAAGGCGCTGTCGAGGATAGGTTGCTGCCCTCCATAATTTGTGGCACATTAGCGGTAGGTACTGGTGCTTCTAAACAGATTCGTTTTGAAGGCGGTTCATTGTCAGCTGTGTCGTTGATCATACCTAAACTGCCTAGCCTATAAAGAAGTAAGCGTTCAAATTCCCACCGACCAAGAGCGTCATTCTCTGAACTATTTTGGCTCCGATGATTGGCGCCACCCCACCATGATTGGACGCGAGAGCGGAATGAACAGTCCTTGATCGCGAAGGTGTTCAGTTTGCACTCGAATGGTGACACAAGGAACCTTCGAAGTGCCTTTCGAGGTGGTATGTCGAATCCAACGTCGTTGATCATCTTCTGCCACTCATGTCTAGGAGGACGCCAGGAACAAGTCAGTTCATTCCACGGCAGTTTCGGACTCAGGATCGTGTCAGTTCCAAGTGTAGGACGTAGCTGATCGAAAATCATGGAGAAATGCCTGCATCGCAGCCACTCCCAGAACTCCTCCGGATTCCATGAGGTCTCACACCGCTCGCAGCTCCTATTGCGGTGGTTGATGCCATCTTCACCGCATTGATAGCAACCTACGGTTATAGTGAGTATCCTGTGACCCGCTTCCAGCCACTGGACGGCGGCCTTGGCCAAGCCAAACACCGAAGAATTAGAGGGTGCCATGTTTTTGGGCACGACAGCCCACCAGCCTTGGTTCAGGACGTCGAACGCCCAAACCAAATATCGAGGTTCGATCTGGAGGCCAGCTTCGTGTTCCTTGGCTATCTCGAACTTGACTCCCCACTTGTTAACCAAGCTCGACGGGATGGCATCGTGCAGGTCTTCCGGGTCTTCCCTCGTTCTCGCCGGGTCTTCTCTCGCCCCCCGAAGTTGGGCTTGTTCTCGTCGAATCCTGGCTTGTTCTCGTATTCCCTTTTTCCGCTTTTCCCTACGAAGCATTTTGGCCACTTTGTGTAACGGGACTCTGAAATTTCCGAGCCTCTCCATCACTGCCCGTGTCAAATCCGTTACATGGATGCATTGACCAGGGGAATTTTGACCAGGGGAATTTTGACCAGTCGAAGTGTGTGCTCCCGGCTTTGGTTGAAAGAGCCCTCCTCGTTTATCCCACCAGCGTCGTAATCGACCGAGGAAGGAGTCGTTCCTGTAGATCCCCATAGGCCACCAAAGGACGATGTCGTCGACGGCGTGTTCTGCTTGCTCTGCGGCAACCATGCGATTGTCACTCACGTTACTCGGCGATCGGTTAAGCGGACACCCTTCTTCCAGCCAACTGTCGAAATGCTGCCGGTTCCATTGGCGTCGTATTACGGGCCTATATAAACCACTTTTCAACATCACGTTCGACCGTCCCGCCGCCGACCACATCTTCGCCTTACCCGCCAATCCGAATACTGACAAACCACTCGCATCGAATGGGATCAGATGCTCCCACTCATTCCTTAACATGTCGTACGCCCACATTAAGTAACAAGGATCTAACACCCGCTTCGCCTCCGCTGCTGTAGCAATTTCAAACCGCGACACACGCGCTTCTACCGCGCTTATCCGACGCACGTTCACAGAACTCTTATCCACCGGATTCACCTCCACTGGACACATGTCTACTAGACTCACGTCTCGCGAACACGTACTTATCGCGGCCGGTCCAGTGGCCGACCCGCACACAGGACTTGTGGCCGAGACGACCCCGGACTCGGTGGGTTGGTCCGACACAAGATCCTCACCATCACCCGGCTGCCCATCACTGCGGGCATTCCATCCGCCAGACTCAATCTCGAGATCTGCGGCGAAGTCCCTACCCAAGTGGTCAAAAGTGCTATCCATTTCGCAAGCAACATTATTACCAGACGCAGTATCCTTGTCGCAGGCAGTATCCTTGTCGCAGACAGTATCCTTGTCGCAGGCAGTATCCTTGTCCCAGGCAGTATCCTTGTCCCAGGCAGTATCCTTGTCCCAGGCAGTATCCTTGTCCCAGGCAGTATCCTTGTCCCAGGCAGTATCCTTGTCCCAGGCAGTATCCTTGTCGCAGGCAGTATCCTTGTCGCAGACAGTATCCTTGTCGCAGGCAGTATCCTTGTCCCAGGCAGTATCCTTGTCCCCAGCAATATCTTCCCCATCCGCCCCAATGCCGAATAATTCGTTGAAGTAGTTGTCGCTAGGCCCTAAGTCGTGAACAGGCTCGACGAGAGCTCCCGAAACTGAAGGACGATAGTCCAAGGGAAAGGAATCGAAAGTCAAAGCGACATCCGTAGACTCGGTCTCCGGCCCGTGCCACTCCATGCTTGCTGCCTCCATGCTTGCTGCCTCCGTGCTTGCCGCCTCCATGCCTGCTGCCTCCATGCCTGCTGCCTCCATGCCTGCTGCTAGTTCCTCGACCTTTAGCTCCGCGACTCTTCTCGTTTCGTCGCCTTCTTGCTGGGACACTTTGCCTCGTGGCGTTTCATTCCTGTTGCCCCCGTCAAACCCGACCGCCCCCAGCAAAATAGCCCGCAGTGAGCCTATAGATGCCAATGAGCCTCTGGGAACTACGCAACAACGCATCCGACCGGGATAATTGATATTTCTTCCAAACAAAAAACTAGCACAGCTGGTGACCGTCACGTTCATCACAACTTTCGGCTGCATTGATTATATTCGTGTAAAAGCCACCGTTCGTATTCGATCCGTGTGAGGCCTTCCGGTGACGGCAGAGAATTCTGCAGCTGTTGCAGCCAACAGTACGTAGCGCGAGCGCGGAACGTGGGCACGCGTTCCGTGGAAGTGAGGAGTGCCCAGTCGAAGTAGGGGACAGGGTATCTCAAGTCTAGCTGTGTCGTGGGAGGAATATCAAAGCCGAAAGTGTTGATGCACTTGTTAATCTCTGCTCGAGGAACGGAGGCAGTGCTTACTGTCTTGTCCCCCACGTCAGCGTGTTCTTCAACGTCAGCGTGTTCCTCCACGTTAGCGTGTTCTTCAACGTCAGCGTCTTCCACCGCGTCGAGTTGAGAGCCGTTGCGTTGGGCAGTGGTAGAAGGGTGTCGGCCCTGTATCCACTCCCAGAGTTCGGTTGCGCTCCAAGGTAGCTCGCACCGTTCGCAGTATTCGGACGAGGGGTGGCTGAGTCCATTTTCTGAGCAACAATAGCAGCTTGCGGATAGAGTGTGAATCTCATTTCCAGTTTCGACCCAGAGTAAGGCTAGACGGGCGAGGCCGAAGACGGAGAGGCGTCGATAGTCGATGTGTGAGGGTATAGTATGCCACCATTCGTTGTTGAATACGTCGAATGCCCACACGAGGAAACGTGGCTTGACTCTGAGATCCATTTCTTTGTTGTTGCACAAGACGAAACGGCGGCCCGTACGACTCAGTAAATAGGGAGGTACCGGGTCCAAGTTTTGTTTGCCATTCAGTTCGACAATGCGATCACGCCGAGCCGCTCTAGGTGCAGCCCGACGAATGTTAGTGACGGGAAAACCCCAGTCGCCTATCCGCTTGACCAGCAGCCATTCAAACTTGCGTGCTGGCAGGTGCGGTTCGAGCACAGATGTGTGGTAAGCTGAACCATGTCCGCGCCACCATGACTTCATACGTGAGCCAATTGTGATGCTTGAGGGGCCGTAATAAGGCCACGTTCCAATAACGTTATCTAACGCTTCTTCTAGACGACTCAAGGCAACCTGCCCGTACTTCGGTTTCCATGCGCTTCGCACACCGACGTCGTCCGCACGAGCTCCTGACCGCTCGTCCTGCAGCCATTCCAGAAATCGTGCAAAACTCCATACCACAGACGCATCGTCGAACCGACACTTATAGCAACGGGAATCCAATATCAAGTTCTGACAACCATCCGCACGCCAAGCTATCGCCTTCTGTGCCAATCCAAAGACCGACAGACCCTTACATGCGAATGGTACTAAGTGTGGCCAACCCTTGCTCAACACATCGTATGCGTAGATAAGGAAACGAGGCGGCATTGCTGACTTTGACTCCTCCACCGTCGCAATCGTGAACGTCGACTTAACCGCGCCACCATCCTTCGTCGCTACAACGCCCTGCGCCGCAACAACATCATCCGACTCTTTCTGCATGGAGTGTGTGCGACTGAACACATCTGTGTTGGGCGTCAATGTGGCGTCCCACCGGTCCATGAGAGTGCGAATGTTCACTTCGGTGTCACCCAGTCGCTTGATGACGAGTCGTTCGAAGTCCTTCGCCGACACAAAGCGTTTGCCGCGTCGAAGGCTGAAGGAAGGCGCACGTGCATTCCACCAACTCCGCATTCGCGAGTCGAAAGAACCCGAAGACGGTAAATATTTCAACACATCATCAATCGCTGTTTCCACGTCCTCAACCGGTACAAGTCGCACGGCTCGAACAATTTCAGAACGACGTCGCGGAGAACGTAACAAGGCCACAAAGTCAGCTGGCCGCAAGCACACATTACTCATGCCCGGGGCCGCTGTATAACACGCCGCATCCAGCGTCAAGTTGGCGTTGAGCGCCAAGTGAAAACGACGTGCTGCCAACGCCAACCCGTATACAGAGAACTTACGTATGTCGAAGGGCACCAACCTCTGCCAACCCCGACTCTTAATGTCGTACGCCCAAACCAAAAGACGTAACTCCACTCTCAAACCTGCCTCACCAGCCGTCGCAATAACCAACACGTTCTTTGTCGCCGGCGCCGCCGACGCCGCCATGTAAGTCACAGGCTGCAACGGCTTTAGACGGGGGGGTTCCTTCCGACGATCGACCTTAAGGCGACGGACTATTTTCAAGCGACGCCCCGCCGCAACGCCGGGGGCCGCCACGCCACGCGCTGTCACGGCAGGGGTTACCACGGCAGGGGTTACCACGGCACGGGCTGTCAAGGCACGGGCTGCCACGGCAGGGGCGGCCAAGGCAGGGGCGGCCAAGGCAGGGGCGGCCAAGGCAGGGGCGGCCAAGGCAGGGGCGGCCAAGGCAGGGGCGGCCACGCCGTGGACTCCGTCCAGATCTTTATATTCTGCACCTTCTTCTCCCCTCATACTCTCTTCCGCGCCAGTGAAGGCGATGAGGAGGGGCACGCCTTTGCCCTTATCTTCCACGCCCCGGCCAGGCAGTTCTTCCGGATTCCTGTCCTTTTCTCCCCGGTCAGGTTCTTCCGGATCAATGTCCATTTCTCCCCGGTCAGGTTCTCCTAGGTTCATGTGCTCTTCTGCCACATTCCGGTCCATTTCGTTCACCCCTACGGAGGGCAACAAGTCACCATCACTTGGTGGCGCGGTGGATTCCAGGGGAGCGTCGTTAGCGACGGTGGCAAACCCCAGAAACCGATCAAAGAAATCGTCGCTTGGTCCCAAATCACTCATAGCGGGATTGGCAAAAGAGTCAGGGATGCACTCGGGATGTGTGCTGCAACTCGAAGCCCCGGAGTTATAGTCATACTGGGGCTGGTCATACGGGGGCACGTCAACCTGGGGATTGTCGTGCTGGGACCGGTTGGTTCCAAGAGTATAGTCCAATTGCATCTCTTTTGGTCGTGACGGGTCGTCTGTCTCCATGACGATATCGTTCGTGGCATCGTTCAGTATCCACATCAGAAAATCATCGTCCTCAACACCAATAAAGCTTTCTCTATCAGGTTCCGAAGAAGCAGCCTTGGCTGCATTGTTTCCGAAAATACTTAGAAACAGGATCCTTGTCGGCGGTAATGCACTTTTCGGCAGCTTGTGATGCCGCATTTCGAGGCCTCTTTTTTTTCCTTTGAGGAAGGTGGGGAGTTTCATTGCGAATGTCCTTTTCCCCTCCAGTGAAGAAGTCTTCTTTCGGGAGTCGATAGCCTGGTGCTGTGCAAGTTCGGGTTTATATGGAAAAGTCTGCGAGACCACAATTGGAGGGTGAGACCCACAATTGGAGGGTGAGACCCAAAATTGGAGGGTGAGACCACAATTGGAGGCAGAGCAGCGTTCATGGCAGATACTTTGTATTAAAAGCCGATGAAGGAGCGTTTCCAGTCGGACTTGCTTGGCAGACGTGTGGCGATACGTTTGTGTTCTATTTGCGGCTCGTTTTCGTCTGTGGAATCTTCGTCTGGATACAGGGGTAGTGCATTATGGGTGGGTGGTGCGAGGTTGGTTAGTAGATGATCCCCATAGAAGCGTAGAGCTAATAGACCGTGTAGACTTGAGTACGCGAATTTGAGGAATTCTTCATCGACACCGAAGCTGCATGCATCTCGTAGAATTTCAGCATATTTTTGGACGTGTCGTAGCATACGGCTATAGTCTGCTTGTTCCTCGTGGAGAATGCGGTGGTAGAACTTGCTAGCAGTGCCCCAGAACTGAATAGGTCCGGGGTTGCAGAAACGGTCCTGTTTGCTCCAACTAGCCCGGGCAACCATGAGCCAGCGAAGCGCCTTGGAGTTGAGATCCGTCTCGGCGTTAGGCAGGATCGGCAGCTGTTCCTGAGTGTAGGCCGTAGACAGTTGTGGGTGGACTGCATCGTTCTGCTGGGATGGCACAAGTGTCAATAAACAATTGAATGGGATGGCACCTAACTTCCAATCCTTCACGTCACCTGTTAACCCACGCACCGTTGTCAGATGTCCTGTGATAGCTGACTCCACACAAATTGCTGCCAAATAGCCGTGAACCAAACCCAAGGTAGCATCAAAATTAGACGGCATAGCGGACCGACCCTGGTAACCAAAGTAATGACACACACACTGGAACGTTCCTACATACTCACCTCTTGTCTTCCGTCTCTCCAATTCCGCACGGACTAACTGTGACAACAACACCTCCGTCTCCACAAAAGAGTCCCGTAACTCGTAATCCGTCGTCAAAAACTCACGTCGAATATACGCCGGCAAACTACGCCACACTGCGGCACTCCATGGGGCGATTTTCTGACTCCATTTACGCGTTTTCGGAGGAGTCGCACGCACCGTCTCCGCTCTTGTGACGCCGCCGTCGGTCCTCGCGCTCTCTGTGCGTCCGATTTCGGGAAGTGCGCTTTCACTTCGACCCACTTCGAGCAACCGTGAAGCACTAGCCGGGGACTCCAGCAGCGCCGGACTACGACTCTTTGGTGTGCTCTCCAAACTCCCAGCCGTGGTGGGAGCGTCGGCACTGTTAACTTCTTCAGCAAAGTTAGCCATATCCAACAACTCCTGTTCAGCCTGCAACTGTTCGCCAGCCGCACTCGCAGCAACCATCACACGATCCAGATCTTGGAGCAACAACTTCATAGTCGGCAGGTGATGCCACAACCCATCAGGGATCAGCACCGCCCCAAAGTTGCGCGGGGTCGGTGTCGCGCGTGCTCGTTCACATACAACATCCGCGATGTCCTTCACGACGTCGTCCAGAGTCTTTTGTGCCGCACCATACTCCTCGGCAATGACCACACAGTTGGGGTGTGTTTGAAGTGCACACTCCAACACTTCGTTCGACGGCTGACGACCCATAAGGCGGACGAAATGCCAATACTTAGGCATAGAGGCGGCGTCGGTGAGCACATTACCAATCAGTGAGGAGTATAGTTTGCTGGCCGTGTCAAAACCTATATTGGTCTCCATCAGCTCGTGCGCCAAATTATTGGAAGCCGTCGCAGGCACACCAACGACGCAGCAGCGACTGCCCTTAGTCAAGAAGTACTCCGCCAAATATGCAGTCTCAGTCATGGCCAGGGATGACCCAACGAGCACCAATCCATCCAGAGCGTTCGCTCGACATACGTCCAGAACACGACGTCGATTAGTCGGGTCCAGCAACATATGCGTTGTTCCACGTCCTAATAGGTCTGCACCGCCAAGGTTGCGGAATGGCTGGACGTCTTCATCCGTAACTTCAATCCATTGGTCAGCCAACAACCCCTCAGCACCCCGTTTGAAACCAAGTAACGTGCCTCCTGTAAGCTTGAGACGCTCTCGCATGCCCCAAACAATATTGTGCAAGCCCGGAGACTGACGAGACAAGAAGGCCACCCCCACCCGACGTCGACGTACCTGAGTCGAAGATGCTTGTGCCGGTGAGATGCTACACTTGATCTCTTGCAAATGAAACTCGTTCTCCTTGCACAAACGCGGACAGTAACTCAAAGTCTGACGACGGATATACGGATCTTTCGGCAGGTATTGAGTCGCCTTGGAACAAGACGCCCACGGGTCGTGACAGATGTCCGGGATAGGTGGGCGCCACAAAATACGTAATTGCTGCAACTGTGAGTAGCAGCCGAAACGCTTAGGAGTGTCCGCACGCCCGAGACCAGAATAGTGTTGCAGCTCGGGAATCCTGCCCGCCAGCAAATCCTCACGTGAAGGCACCGCCACGACACAGTTACTGACATCAGCACAGGGCCCCAAAAACTGGATGGGACCCGGCGATCGGTAGTAGTCCCCGAGTCGCCAGTCCGGTCGGACTGACTCGAAGACACGAAAAGCGGGCGACTTCACATCGACCAACTGACGTATCACACCGGGTACACGACCCAATGGCAAGTCAAGCATGCGCATCACCTTGGTAAACGGGACGCCCGCCGCGGTCCACAAGGACGCCTCCTGTACCAGGTCCTTGACAATCGCCATGTAGCCATTTTTGCGATGGTGAATCAGACAGCCTGCAGTCATGCCAAGATTGTAGCAGTAGTTCGCGTCAAAGTTTGACGGCATCGCACATCGTCCCTCGTACCCGAAATAGTGATGCATCCGGTTCCACGTCTTGATGTCAATACCACGTGCTCGTAGACCCTCCTCCACCAACAAAATGAGCAGCCTCTCCGTGGCGATTTTCGCCACTTGCACGTAGCCTGAGGCCTCGCGATCCGTCAGCAATTGCTGCTGAATCTGAGACGGTAAAAAATGCCACAGGTCCTGAGACGCCTGGGAAAGACACCCCTCATCAAACTGCTGCCCCTTGCATAACTGCTCACTCATTTCCGCTATTAACAACTTCATCTCTGGAATGAAACCAATAAGTCCTTCCGGCACCAACACAATTCCGTAGTCCTTCTTAACGGCGCGCCGCTCGAGAACCAGTTCCACAATGTCGTCCACAATCTCTTTCAGACTGATGTTTTTGGCCTCTACCTCTTCGCCGATGAACACCAAGTTGGGACGAGTCTGCATTGCGCACTCTAACACCAAGTGACTCGCAGACCGACCCATGACGCGGACAAAGTGCCAGACGCCCTGTCCCGATGAGCAGTCGGTGCAGAGGTTTCCAATCAGCTCGGAATAAGTCTTGGCGGCGGTGTCGAAACCAAATGAACATTCAACTGCGGCGTTTTTCAGGTCCCCGTCAATGGTCTTGGGCACTCCAATGACATTGGTGTTTGATTTGTGAGCTGCGAAGTACTCTGCCAACAAAGCAGCATTGCTATTGCTTCCATCACCACCAACCACAATGAGACCGTTCAGCGCCAAGGTGGTTACGGCTTGCAACGCCAATGGTTTCTGCTTCTCCGTAACCATCCCGCGACCAGACCAAAACATGTCAAAACCGCCGCTATTCCGACTCCGGTCCATTAACTCGTCGGTGACCTCGATGTGCTCGTTATTGAACAACCCATCCAGACCACCCTTAAACCCTACCATGCGACTAGCCGGATTAACCCGCTTAATGTAGTCATAAACTCCAGCTATTACATTGTGACCCCCAGGCGCCGGTCCACCGGATAATACCAACCCCACTGTCATGGGCCCCACTGTCATGGGGGGCGTCTCCGTAATAAGCGCCTCCGGATGCACCAATGCGCCAGAAGAAGAATCCGAGCTCATATCCTGCTCAATACTCACAACAGGTTGCCCGTATATATTCGGGAAACTCCTCGACAACTCCGTCCCATCCAACTGCTCCAAACCTTCAATTTCTAACTCCTGCAACACCGTCGGACCACCGGAGCATAACGCATCGCACGTCACCGGGGTCATCTTCTGACGCTCCTTTTGCACTGGAGAAAAGTAAGCAAACAGATCCGCTGACTGTAAATGTGTGTGCACACGCCTCTTCGCCATTCTCTAAATCGCTTGCTCTTGAACAGCTTAAAATCGGGACAGAAAAAAATATGTATGGGGTATTAAAATCTGCAACCAAAGGTAGTCACAACCCAAGGGAGTCACAGCCACGGCCTCAACCCTAGTGGTACACATTGTGATGTGGCGCAAATTGATGTGGCGCACTTCGCCAAAAAAATCTGTGTGTAAACACGCGCGCGCGCTGTAAGCAGAGGCGCAATCGCGCGCGCGCTGTAAGCAGAGGCGCAATCGATACGTTTTCGGGGCGTCCGTTAGAGAAGGCAGGGGCTAGACGCCCTGGCTGAAGCCCTTTTCAATACGAGCAGTCGGTTTTGGACGGCGGGGTGCCTCGAGTAGGGAATTTCGAAATGAATTTAATGTGGGAGAGGAGGCGGACGCAGGCGACTATACTGACAGTGCTTGTGGCAGGAGTTACTCTGTGGTGGACCTACCGTCACAGACAGGCTTCGAAGGGAGTGGAAGTGAAGGCAAAGGTTTCGGATGGTGGCACAGACAACAGCACTGGAGATGTGCCAGAAAATGCTCCACACGGATGCCCGGGAGTGGAGTCTGCAGAGGCAGGGCACGGCGACGCCTGCCAAGGTTGTCCGAATAGAGCGATATGTGCTAGCGGACAAGCTAACGAGCCAAACCCAGATGTAAAGGTGATCGCGGAGAAATTGGCCGATATCAAGAACATCGTAAGCGTCAACACCATTGGCTCGGGTGCACCGGAGACATACCACTGGCTCGGGTCCACCAGAGACATGGGGTGACATATAGATGGTTGACATATGAGTGTTTTGTAGATATTGGTATTGTCTGGCAAAGGTGGTGTCGGTAAATCGACGGTCTCGTCGCAAGTCGCCTGGGAACTGGAGTCCCGTGGTCTGGCGGTGGGTATTTTGGACATTGATATTTGTGGACCCTCGATCCCGAGAATGACGGGCACAATAGGCGAGGAGGTCCGTCCGTATTCAGGGGGATGGATTCCGGTTGTGAAGTCCGAAAATTTGCTGGTAATATCAGTAGGCTATTTATTGCCAGAGGATGATGGTGCAGTGATTTGGAGAGGACCGAAAAAAAACGGTCTGATCAAACAGTTCCTTTCTGATGTATATTGGGGTAGCTTGGATTACCTAATTGTGGATACGCCCCCTGGGACGAGTGATGAGCACTTAAGTATTGTCACATATCTGAAGGATGCGGGTATTACTGGAAGCATCATTGTGACAACACCGCAAGAGATTTCATTGCAAGACGTAAGGAAAGAGATCAACTTCTGCAAACAGACGCAAGTACCTATTCTGGGAGTAGTCAACAACATGGCCAACAGCTTTTTCAGTGAAATCGACCCCGAAGGCACGTCCCGAATGTGCGAGAAGATGCAGGTACCCTACGCTGGCTCCATTGATCTTGACAAACAACTACTCAGAGCAACCGAGGAAGGCAGAAAGGTAGAGTCAGACTCCAACGCTTCCAGACAGATCAAGGAAGTCATCGACTCGTGTCTAAGCCATATCCGACCCCGTAGCTAAGGTGGCCCGAGCCAAGGCGCTTTCCTCTTTTGACCCCCTCCCTCTTTTTTCGTATTTTGAGACCCGCAATGCATGCCATACATGGTCCATCATGTATTGTGGGCCAGGCAGGCCCCCATGACTGGCTAAGCCAACATCATTGGTCATTGTTCATCTTCGGGGGTTGATGACCCCTTCCGTTTCTGGCAATGAGTGTTCATCCATAAAAACTCTAGTTGGACTTGGAGTTTCTGCGGTTGGGTCGGATGTCCGTCTCTTCCGCGGTCCATGCCGGGTTTCTATCGACGACTATGAGTATACGGGCAATGCTGCGGCCGTTGTTAGACGCGTGCTCTGGGTTGCTCGACGGAGAGTCGATCTCGGAAGGCTTCAACGGCTGATAGAAGGTCTGCACATCTGAAATGGTGCTGACCTTCATGTCCTGCAGCTCGTGGGCAATGCCGATGGCGTGAGTCACGGCAGAACCCAAGGCAGTGATGTGAACCTTGGTCATCTGAGGGTTGGCAGCCAAGAGCCGGCGGGCAGCGAACACATAAAAGCGACGCAGACGGCTAGCAGAAACCTAAAAGAGAGGAAAACATGTAGACCCATTTGTTTGCACACGCGTGTGCACACGCGACTGCTGCTACTTCGCATCGCCTGGCGATTAAACAGCTGGCGGTTGAGCAAGAGGCCACACAGACCACTTAATGAAGGCACTCTCGCAGTACAAAGTCGCCCGGGGTGAAGCTTACTTGGATGCGGCCGACGTTGGAGGGGACGCCAGCGTCTTCCTGCATGTCGGTTCTTTTATCGGCAGATGACATTATCAAAAAATCACCAATTTTTTTTAGCCTCGATTTTTTCTGACACACAAACGAATGACCAAGAGACTATTCACGGCCATTTTATTTTTCTTCTGCACTGGGGCCAACGCTGGGGCCAACGCCGGGGCCATCATGGGTCACAAAGGTGACACGGCTCTCCAACCATTTCAAGCACTACCGCATACACCGTCGGTCGCGGTACAGTACCACATCAGTGTCCTCAGTCCCAGCCAAAGGGAGCGTATCGTACAGAGTGAGCCGCCTCATCACGTCCTGTGGTCCTCCGATGCCCTTGGATGCTACTTGTTTCCAATGTTACTTTGCCGTGACGATCAAATTGGATTCGCGATATCCTCAACGCAGGCCTTAGAACGGCCGACGCCGGCCTTAGTCAGAACCATGCTCGTCAGCAGCAATCAGTGTCCCGACCAACCACCAATCCTCGATCCTGTTGTTGGTTCGATGCTGTATTTCGTGTCCCACTGCGTTCCCTTCCATCGTTCATCACCGCGCGTCTGCAGGGGCCACGCAAGCCTTAACTGAGCGGGTAGATAAGCTGCTCTTGACCGACGGCGCAGTCCAGACGCAAGTGGCGCACTGTTGGGGTCCGCACCTGTGCCAGTTGTGGAAGGGCAAGAAGTACTACTACGACGAGGGTTCCGGCCGGTGCGAGAAGCGCTTGTCGCTCAAAGGCTTGCTGTCTGTGTCCTCCCTGTATCGCAGCACCAGTAAGTCGACCTGCATGAATCAATCAGTCCACGTGCGTGAGTCGCCAGCCACAAGTCCTTGGTTCGAGTCCCCCGTCCTGTGGGTAAAGTGGCTTAGTACCAAACGTTCTGTTCTTCAGAAGTGAAGCCTCCTGCGTACGGTACTATGTCCTTGTGCGGCTTGTACTCGCCTATTTCGGTTGTGGCCCTGCACCAGACGGGTAGTGAACTGTAGTGCTATCAGCCAGTACTTTGTTGGGGCTCTATCGGTACTGTGGTTAAGGGAGCGCGGAGGGGAGGGGGGCGGGTTCCTGCTGATTGTGATGGGCTTCCTGCCGGTTGCGGTAAGCGAAAAGTGGGTTGTGGGTGATGGTTTAAGATTTTGGATTTTTCGATGGAGAAGGAAACTGACGCGCGGCACATGACGACGACGTCGGCTGAGGAGAAGTCGGGTAGTCCGCAGAGCCAGGGGAAGCAAAAGAAGCCCAAGGCGGAGAAGCCCAAGGCGGAGAAGTCCAAGGCGGAGAAGCCCAAAGGTGCGGCTTCCGGCACTGCTCAATTGGGTATAACAGTTGATAAGTTGGAGAATTTTCCGCAGTGGTATACTGAAGTGATAACTAAGGCGGAATTGATAGAGTACTATGACGTGAGTGGCTGTTACATTTTGCGTCCGTGGATATACAACGTGTGGGAGTGTGTGCAGGGTTATTTGAATAACGTGTATCGTGTGAACGGAGTGAAGAATTCGTATTTCCCAATGTTCGTTACGAAGAGTAAGTTGGAGGCGGAGGAAGATCATGTGGAGGGGTTCAGTGCTGAGGTGGCTTGGGTGACGAAGTCCGGGTCTTCGGATTTGCCAGAGCCGATTGCCATCCGGCCGACTTCGGAGACAATCATGTACCCGGCATTCCAGAAGTGGATTCGGTCCCATCGTGACCTGCCGCTGAAATTAAACCAGTGGTGTCCAGTGGTTCGTTGGGAATTCAGTCATCCGACACCATTTATTCGCACGCGAGAGTTTTTGTGGCAAGAAGGACACACAGCGCACGCAACTGGGGAGGAGGCGGACGCATTCGCGAAGGCAATGTTGTATGCATACCAACAGGTGTACCGGAATGTGTATGCGATACCAGTGATACCGGGTCAGAAGTCGGAAATGGAGAAGTTTGCTGGCGGGTTCAAAACGTATACAACGGAAGTGTATGTGGGTTGTAATGGACGATCGATACAGGCGGCGACGTCTCATAACCTGGGGCAGAATTTTGCCAAAATTTTTGGAGTCGAATACGAGGATGACACCAAGACCAGACATCATGTTCATCAAACTAGTTTTGGTCTCAGCACACGTTCTATTGGCGCAATGATTATGGTACATGGAGACAAAAAGGGCCTTGTATTACCCCCGCGTTGTGCGCCTGTTCATGTTGTAGTTGTGCCGATTGTGAAGAAGGACATGGATGTGACGGTATTGTATGAGACTTGTCGACGTCTTACAAATGAAATATCACTGCAGTATTTGGAGTATGAAGAGCCGGAGCTTTGCCATACCAATCTGGTAGACCAGAAGCAGGTGGACCTATTGTCCAAGGCGCAGAAACTTTCAAAACTTCCCATTACTGTCGAATTCGACGACCGTGAATGCTATAATCCTGGATGGAAATACAACCACTGGGAAGTCAAGGGCGTACCATTACGTCTTGAAGTCGGACCCAGGGATATCGAGCAAGGTACCTGCCGACTTGTACGTCGCTGTGATGGTCAGAAGTTCGATATCCAACAAACTGACGCTGCTTTCAAGGTCGTAGAAGAACTAAACCACGCGCACACAATCATGTTCAACGCAGCCAAAAATACTCAAGATCAGAACATACAACGCATACAGACCTACGACCAGGTAATGCCTGCGCTGGATAAAAAACAACTTGTCCTCGCACCATGGTGTCAACGTACTGAATGCGAAAAAGACGTCAAGACCAAAACCGGAAAAACCACCGTCACCGACCAAACCACTGCCGCCTCAGGACTCTCTGGCTCAATGAAGACGCTCTGCATGCCATTCGAACAACCCCACCTCGAACCTGATACCAGCTGCTTCAACTGCAACGAAAAGGCCACCATCTATTGCCTTTGGGGCAGATCCTATTAACCTTTTTTTCACCAAAGTCAGCACTGTGATAAATAAAGACCTGTCCCTATGAGTTATCCGCTTCATATCCACCCTCTTGGATGCTCCAATTTATTTGTTCGTTACAACATAGCCCCTCTTCTTAAGGTTCATCTTGGATATCTCAATCCTCTACCGATGACCTCATCATGATGTGTGGAAATGTTCGTGTCGTGCCAGGGTATATTTACCTCGTGGAACTCCTTCAGTCGTCTCTCCTGATCGGGTAGAGCCATAGATCGGCAGGTTCTAACCACAGCCGACATTTGGCTAGAGCCCCAAAACACGAGCATCACCAGTGGCATCTGCAAAGATGATTCGGTATGCGAGGGATTCGGTATGCGAGGGATTCGGTATGCGAGGGGTTCGGTATGCGAGGGACATTAGCTTATGAAGATGGTAAGTTACTCTCAGAGACTGATGTATGCTGTTACCAGACCTGATGGCAATGGCTACCGCAAAGGCAATGTAGGCCAGCGCTAATGTAATGATAGTTCTTCCAACGAAATGTTTTGGAGCGGCCATTGAGTATATTTCTATAAAAAGGACTTTGCTGTCATGTCAGGACTTGGGTTGCAAGACCTGGAGCAAGATTGAGTTGGGCTTGGCCACAGTTTGGTTACGACCTCCAGTCCGCTTTTCATCGTAGCTCGGGCCAGATGTATTTTAGGCAAGACTAAAATCGTGGCGACATTAATCTGAGGCGCTGCCGCCGCCACGGGCCACCGGGCGCCTGTGGCAGTGCGTCTGGAGCCTCGCCAGCCCTTGCACAGCGCTGGGCCGGGCCCAATGAATTAACCAGGACAAAACAGCCCCTGTAAATTTTTTGTGGGATTTTCTCTGCTGTGTGGTCGCCATGAAGACTGTGTACGTCGAACAGACAATGGATATCCCTGAGGATGGTAAGAATGCACCGCACACACATCGCACACACATCGCACACGCGTCTGTATGATGCGGGTGTATAACACGTCTGCATCAGAGTGCAGTAGCCGTGAGAGCTGTATTTGCATGACGTTGTATTTGTATGACGTTGTATTTGCATGACGTTGTATTTGTATGACGTTGTATTTTGTAGTCAAGATCACTGTGGCCTCCCGAAAGGTGACTGTGAGTGGCAAGTACGGTGAGTTGAGTCGTGAGTTCAAGCACTTGCCGTTGGATGCCACTGTGGAAGAGGGGAAGTTGAAGGTTGCCATGTGGAACGCTGACAACCGCATGAAGGCATGTGTGCGAACATTCTGTTCGCACGTGGCGAACATGATTAAGGGCGTGACTAAGATGTTCCAATACAAGATGCGTCTGGTGTACTGTCACTACCCCATCAACATCAACATCACTGACAACGGCAACACTGTGGAGATCCGTAACTTCTTGGGCCAACGCCGTACCCGATGCGTTAAACTCGCCCCCGGCGTCACCTGTGTAAAGTCCACCACCGTTAAGGACGAACTCGTCGTCTCAGGCATCGACATCGAAGGCGTCTCCCGCTCCTGCGCTCTTATCAGACAAAATGCTCTCGTTCGTAACAAGGATATCCGACTCTTCCTCGACGGCATCTACGTCTCCGAGAAAGGGCTCGTCCTTCAGGAAGCCTAAACCTTTTTGTTCTCCAAACCAGTTCGACCTCCAGCAAAACAAAGCCCTCCAGCAACCAAGACCCGGCCCCTCCGCATCGACATATGCGGAGGGCCTGCGTATCCAACATACACGTGTGTGTGTTTCACACGCGCAGCTGTTGGACACACGTGTGTGCAAACTGTACCGAATAGCGCGCGAGCAAGGCGGCACACAGTCCAGCGTGGTACTACACCTCCGGGCCGGCGTGCTGTGCAATCCGGATGTCTTCGGGTGCCGTCGAACAGGTGCTGGGTGCGATTTGAGTTTTTAGTAAAGCGGGTAAAATGCTGGTGAAGGCGAGTGACATAAAGGCGGTGCCGGTGGGTCGTTATGTATGCCTGGCAGCTTTGGAACAGCGTGCCATCGTGGAGCGTGTATCTCCTTCGTTGTTCATTTCGTTTCTACGAAGTTTGCCTGGGTCAAGTAAGATTGTGTTGGATTGTCGTGCGCGGGAGCACGTGGCGAACGGTGCATACCTTCCGTTGGTACACCGGTTCGGTGGTGTGGTGATGGCGGACCGGATCCCACCTCATCAACGTTGCGATGAGGCGACACGTGGTCGAGTAAAGGATTGGATTTTCACTACGTGCAATCTGAAGCATGTATTTGTAATGGATACGTACACTTGCAAGCAGTCATTGCAGGGTAACAATATGCTCACACGTGTGGTGAAATATCTTGGACTGAGTGGCGCCAAACCGGTTCGTGTTTGCATACTGGATTGTGGCCTCCATGTCCTTCAGGTCCAGAAGTATCCAATAGCACTCCTTAACTCCGAAGCGCCCATTGCAGTTGCTCTCGCCGCCAAGCCCGGCACTTGCGACGGACTCTACGTCTTCCATCAAGAATACCTCAAGGTACACGGACTACTCGGCAGAACCGTCAGGGAACTCGACGTACGCTATGTACTCAACCTCACCAGAGCACCTGCCCAACTCAAAGGCGTCAAAGAACTAGGCAACCACCTACCTTTCAAAGACGCCAAACAGTGCGCCGCCTTCTATGGTGAAGCACTGGCATACCTCGTACAAATACCCGCCGGCCAAAACGTATTAGTGATCGATACGCACACAAACAAGATCTCAAGCGAACGTAAGCACAACACACCTCTATGCGCGCCATACACCACGCACACCCATGTATAAGAACAGTCTATTCCTCCCATTGCGAGCGCTATTTAGTCTTGGTCATGCTATTGATCCTTGGAGCCAATTACACCTACGAGGATGCCGTCAACATCACCAGGCAGAGGCTCACCTGCCCCGAACTCGACAGCGCCGCTAGAGCTGCCTTTATGCTGATGGCTGAATCCCAGGGATCCATCGAAACCAGACTCGCCGCCGGTGTCGAACAATTCAACGCAAGATTCGACAGCGAATATCAACTCAAGTCTACCCAGCAACTCACAGCTGTTGAGAAGTGGAATATCATCGCCAAACTATTGGAAGGCAAACCTCTCGCCAGCTATCAACCGGTCATGCAGTAATTACTACACGCAAGCTATTCCCCCCGCTATCATGGCCATCCTTGTAGACTGGTAACTAAGCTATTTAACAACGTACTGGCCAATCCTACAGAGCCGAAATACCGTAAAGTGAATCTGGTAAGTGCACCGAGGTTCACCTGGCCACTGGTTACCTAACCATTAAATGACGTAATTACCGAACCTCGGTACCTAGATAATCCCCAGACTATAATTCAAACATCTTGATAGAAAAATGCGAGAATCTCTCGGACCTTCGATTCGTCGCCCAAGCTAGGCCCCATGTTATTAGAAGCAGGTAAGATTCGGCCTGTTCCATGTGTGCGATGGCCCCCAGTTTGTCTCTCCATAATCGTCCCGCACACTGCACTACGTTCCCGTCGCGATGCTACAGATGAACCGTCAATGAATCAATTACTGCCTTGGGGACGTCAGGGCATGCATGCACGACTTCCCGCCAAATTTCGTCTATTGGGTGTATAG